ACAGGTCCATTTACCATTAATATGTGCAATTTTAAGTGGACTTGAACCATTGTTTAAGCAAGGACACTGGAATTCCATTTATGGTGGTCTTTTGAACAGCAAGCTTTCACCTATGAAGCCAGAACAGGACCAGCAGACAGTGGAATGTTTATAGCAGCATTTGTTCTCTATAAAAGAAACTGTACATTCACAGTTGATAACAATTAAATTAGACATCTAGTTAAGTTACATTTGCAACTAGTAATTAGCAGAATTGTGACTGGTGCATTCTGGAAAAAGAATGATGGAATGGCTTCCAATAAATGTCACAATCCAATCCACTTGGGGGTGCTAGAGAACATACTGTAACTGAGTAGTAGAGGGAACATGGAGGAAGGACTGCTTTTTGTACCCTTAGTTTGAACTATTTTTTGGAGACGTGACATAGAACTCATAGTGTGTGTGTGTGTGTGTGTGTGTGTACCTGTGTTCGCAGGATCTCTCCTTTGGTTAGCTGCATGTCTCCAGTGAGTTCTTTAACAGCAATGCCCAGTGGCTCCAAACGCTTACTGAAGTAATTAGTCATCTCAGCTGCCAGGGCCTTCATAGGAGCCACATATACAATCTACAGAGAGAGAGAAAGAGGGAGACATAGAAATGAATAGGATAGAGAACAGATAGGGGTTGAATGAGGAAGGTAGAAGATGGGTTTGTGGGGGGGGGTACAGGAGAGTGGGACTGGAAGGACACTGTGGTGATAAATGAGCAAACAGAGGCGGGATCATTTGTTCCCTGGCAACCAGCACAAATCACAATTTATTGAGAAATATGATGCCAGCTACTTGTATTGGTAAAGTTTAATGGTGATGTATGAAAAGTGTCTATCTTCAGTGGCTGGCACCGTGTGTTTGCACGAGAGAGAGTGTGTGTGTAGGCCTTCATGAAAGAGAACAAAGCCTTTTGGATGTCTGAATTATTTATCCGAGTGTGTGTGTGACACTATGGGTTTATGAAGACATGGACCAATATTTTTAGACTGAGCTGCCAATAGCTGACTTTTTGTGAATATATCTGAGACTCTGTTTTCCCATTGTTGCTGTATTTAATTTTGGCCACTTTCATCAGCTAGTTTTCTAAATCAAGTATTCATAAATAAACCTGATGAAAAGACAGACACACAAAGTAAAATCAGTCAGAATTTGTAGCATGAGTGGAAGGAGGGTAGTCATAGAGGGAGGCAGGGTGAAATGTAGGCACTGCAGGTAAAGCAGCTCTCCATCAAAGCCCTACAAAACTTCATTTCTCAATCAGTTTTTTCATCACTAAATTCACTTCTGATCATTTTTGAAGCGAGAATCAACTGCGAGATTTTGAATATTGGCATTTTTAGAAAAGAAATTATGGGGAAATAAAAATAAGCCCTAACTTTCCAGAGTTGAGAAGCTCTACAAGCACCTAGGGGAGTAGCTAGCTAGCTAGTAGGCCAGTGACGTGGAGCAGACCTGTCTTTCCCCACAGTCACACAGACAACTCCAGCCAACGCAGCAGACGACTTCAGCAGTAATGGTGCAAGAACGACACTTCTTTACATTTCTGACCAGAGAACAAGCTCCAACACACGTTACATTTCTGTAAGTAATGCAAATAAATCGATTTAACAGTTCCTTATTCCACTTCAGTGACTTTTTCCAAGAAGAGATGTGTAATGTGTGACTTCTAATGTGTGATTTCTAAGCTGTACCGGCTGCACAGTATAATAAGAACAGTAAACACATTATCTCTACAGTATGACATATATCTCAAAACACTCCTACAGACCTACTTAAACAACACAACACAGTAACAAGGTGACCCAAAGTGATTTACTAATTTAAAAAAGCACGGAAATCCTTCAGTCATACAGTACAACTGTGAAAAAGTAATTAGAGGTTAACTGTGTGAGAAAACAATTAGAGTCAACTAGAGTCGAATTAAGTGAGAAAATGTCACAGTTCCACAGTAATGTTCAATCTGAATCTAATATCTACTCCAGCATTTTAGTAGTTCTGGTGTTTTAAGAGGCATGCGTCGTAGCTGGTGTAACTGCAACAAATCAGGAATGGGTCAAGTTTTATCTTAGTCAATGGTGAGCCATTAATGCTAGGATTGGCCAGCACAGGACATCCATTACTGTAGGCAAGAACATACTGTTTGTACTTTAGGTAGGAGCATAAAGGTAGGCAGAAAGATTGGTAAAAATTGGTAACACTTTGACCTATGTAGATTATATAATTGAAAACCTTTTATTTCTCTTTGTAGTGGGAAACCTTTACTTTTTTAGGTGAGTAGCCTCCAAATAACCAGATTTCTTCACATATTTTCTGTACTACTGTCAGGATATAGTGAAGGTTTCAGCAAATATGGCAAAAAGTTATTTTTATAAAAGTTACCTACTGCAGCTTTAAGGAGTTACTGTTTAGCATTTTTATCTAATGTTTGAATGCTTAGTTTAGATCATTTTATAGTCACATAAAAAATATTGGTACAGATCACCTCTGAGGTTAAATGGCAAAAAGCACTGCACAAATCAGCAAAAGCCTCTTGGAGGAAACATAATCAAGTAAATCCAGCAGTCCTCGACTCAAAACTATCAGAAAGCCATTTAAATGCTGCCTGAAATACAAACACCCAAGGCTCCAGGGATCAGATCTGAATCTCTGCATGGAGCGTGTGAGTCTCAGCAAGGAGCACACTTGATCTCTATGAGGCATGTTGAGTGACTGTGCTGGAGTGACACTGGAAACATTCATGAACATTACACAGAAATTCTTTTAAATTCCAACTGTGATCTTGCATGACAACTAGACCAACACATTATAGTGAGTACAGGTAAAAGGCTTCCTACAAACAAGCAGTCTAATGTGTAATCAAACTGCAATAAGGGTCTTTGTACTTTGTAATTGGTGTGTGTCAGAATCAGACCTTGAATTCATCCTTCTTGATGACGCCGCCGGGCTGCAGATGCTGGCGGATCTCGTGAAGGACTGTCAGCATGGCGATGTTGGTCTTGCCGGCACCAGTTGGAGCGCAGATGAGGAGGTTTTCGTTGGTGTTGTAGGCCGTCTCGAACACCAAGGACTGGATCCTGTTCAGACGCTTCATCCCCTTGAAGACCAGCTGCCCGATCTGAGCAAACAAAATGAGGGAGGGGGAGGATAAACAGGGGTTAACCCATTGCAAAATACTCATCATACAAAAATCTGTAATAACTGCAGGAACTATCCTGTAATAATAAAGGTTTTGGATAAGTAATATGTAATGTTTTTATGGAAGAATTATGATGCACATTTGAATAAAGATCCCAAAAATGAATAAAGTAAAATACAATAAAATAAATAGTTTTTATAGTTAAAATAAATAAAAACAAATGACAGTGCTTTCTTTTTCTGAGTATTGGTTGGCCATTATTGGATAACAATGAAAGTCAATATGCATTTTTTTTATTTTATTTTATTTGTTCTTAATTATTTTGATGGTTTGGCATTTTTTCTAAATTATTAACAATAACAAATGACTAGATAATGATCAGTTTTTAATATCACTTCATTTAAATCAGTAATATATATATATATATATATATAGTTTTTAATATATAAAAAGGAAAGGAAAAATTCCCTTCTAAAGACATTTCTAAATTAAAATATATTCAATTTTGACAAAGAAAATCAGGGAGTTTGGGAAATTTGAGTGGCTAGAACTAGGCATTGGAAAATTTCATATCACGATTTTCCTGCCAAACATAATTGTGATACACAATAATCATCAAAATATGCTTAAAAATGTTAAAATGACATGAAAAACACACTGGAAATGGAATTACCTTAATTTTTTTAAGAATGTGTTCGGTATCACAGATACACACTTCAACTAATTCTTTTTCAGTTTGGAATCCAAAGTATTTCCAAACTTAACTTAACTTTTTTTGTGGGGGATACGACGAGCAAGCCGAGCCTTCAGACATGATGACACATTTAGGATTTCACAATAAAAGAATGAATAAAGGGGCTCCAGGAGATCAATATAAAATATATATGTTTCGGCTCTAAATATGTGATAAGCATTCTGCCCATCACCTGAACACTCAACCATACCCGTACCAAACAAACCATCAAACAAAAAATCTCCATCAAACTCAAAGCTGTGTTCTTCTGTCATAAACAAAACCATGTTTATTCAAACAATTTTATCTATAATTCATTTGCATTAAATAATTATGTAGGATAATGTAGTGTTTGTAACATTTAGGAGGATCTACTGGCAGAAATGGAATATTCATAGGTATGTTTTCATTAGTGTATAATCAATTCAAT